TTTGTTTATCATNTCCCGCTCGAAAGCGGTCACATCAAAAGGTTTCGACGTGTTTTGAAACTCAAGTCTGTTTAATGGAAACGGTCGTGTTGTGATTTCTATTTAAGTAATCCAACCCAATATTTATGTTGGCGTTTTCTTCTTCCCAAAAACAATATTTTAATCATTAATGAATTATAGCTATTAAAAAATATATATGTGTACGGTTAAAGTGTTTACTTGGATAGGATACAAAGTAACTAACTAACCAAGTAAACACTTTAACCGTACATATACCACGAACTCCATCGATGGATATCTGGGAAACCGCTCGAAGAATTTTTTTGAAATTGTGATGATGTGCTACAGACCTTGGGCGTGGAGCCTACCAAGCTAAAATATTTTCAAGGTCATCGTATGTCCGGTTATACCGGAAGTTGATACTAACTTTCTTATTTTAAATGGAACCCCCCCGTATATTATTGCAAAAAAATAGGGGTTTTCATTTAAAAATTTCGAGTTTTCCACATATTCTGAACTTCATATTCGATAAAAAAAACTTTGACCACCCTGTATAAAAACTGGAAAATTTTCATGTCAAATTCGATAAAGTAGGTCTTCCTCTACAAAATGTCCAATTTGCACAAAAAAATAAACCGGGAAAACTAAATTTTGCTGACAGTCTTCATCTGTCAATTTTTGTTTAAAAATCGAAATATCTCGGAAACGGTATGGAGTGTGCTGTATGTTTTCAACTTAAAAATGGATGATGTTTCCAAAAATGCAATAATATACAGGGGGTTCCATTTAAAATAAGAAAGTTAGTATCGACTTCCGGTATAACCGGAAGTATGATGACCTTGAAAATATTTTAACTTGGTGGGCCCCACGGTCCGTATCACACCGTCACAATTTCAAAGAAATCCTTCCAGCGGTTTCCCAGATATCCATCGATGGAGTTCGAGGTGGGACAATCTGTAGACACATACTTTTTTTTTCAAGGACTTCAGTATAAACCTAAAACTAAGAATAAAAAAATCTTCTCTAAACATGTTGGTTGGTTATTGGAAAAATGTATTCTGACTTCTTCGCGACAACCAGTGGAAAAGGACTGAAAACAAAAACAAAACTCGAACAAAATGTAGTCCGCTTGATGGAAACAAGAGTTTTGGGTTTGTTTCAGTTCCAGTTTTTGGTTTTCAGGTTCTATAAAACACAAACAAGACATAAACTCAACTGTCCGTTTAGTGGAAAACCGCCATAACGATGCCTTTTTCTTCAAACTAATCTATATATGCCATGTATTTAAAGTAATCATAAAAAGGACTCGCCTTGAATAAAGGCGTATTTATAGATTATTTGTTCCAAGTTAACAGACGATGAATACTCATCAGACATATGCAACCCCAAGTTTTTTTTTACAATGTCTGATTGACATTCGCTGTTTAAAACAGTGACATACAGATTGAACCATGCACACATTTCTTGACATGTTCTCAGACAAAACCCTGCAGCATCGATTTCTTTTACATGTCTCTTCGAATCTGTATAAAATGTTTCTTGTTAGTGACCATCAATTTAAATGTATAATAACAGCAAAAAATATGAGGTTGCATCAATTATTATTTGGAAACGGTATATTTGGTTGAAGGCACTCAAAACATATTTTTAAATACCTATGACAGTAAGTTCATGTTATTAAAAACTGTGCAAGATGCATTGATTAGAGCACGACTGAAATCCGTCTCAGTTCAATTAGATAATAGGGTTGTTGACTATAAAAACAAATCATATACAAATTGTTGTTGATACAAAGATTTTATATAAAAGAACCTGCCTGTATACTAAAATTTTAAATACCTATATGACAAATTAGTGGTAGAAATCATTTAAGAATTTCTGCGTTACTTAAAAACTAGTCTGACGTCATAAGGGGCAATTGAACAAGAAGCTAGTAGCGATCCTATTGCATAATTTTGAAGAAGAAGAAGAAAATATGTCAAAATTGTCCAAACCCTGTTGCCCTGTTCCCTGTTTTTTAAACAAAACTGACACTAGTGACAGCAGTCTATCAATTAAGAGTATTTGTGATGGTTATTATTAATTTCCTGACTGTAATGGATTCAACAAAATTTAATATTTAAGTGGTGTTTTGTTCCACATTCCACATAGCCAATTGCATTATCTCCATGAGACTCCCGATGTGCACTATAATATTCAATAAATAAATAGGTATTTTATATAAATAAACACAATAAAATCATTCATTAAATATGCTGATCCTTACGTGACTGCTTTTATACCTCTGATTTCGCCAATATTAAAACGGTCGTCTCTTAAAATTTCAATTCATGATCATAAAAATATGAATATTCGGTAAAATTTGCGAAGTAGCTTTCACAAATCCCGTTTCACATATTCTGCTTTAGTTCTAAGGGAAGATATTAAATGATTATTACTAAATAATAATTTTACTTAATAAATGAATTCGAAGATTAAGGAAAATAACTTGAAAGACTTGAAAATATGTATTTTATGCGACAATGTCACTGACAGACTGATGACACTACTGACAATGTTGACAGAGCGACTTCTTCTTCCAATTTTTTTTCCTTTACGCAATCATTTACACATAATTTCACTACAAGGTGCCCCTTATGACGTCACAGCCGTTTTGAAATATTATAAAAAAAATTAGTTTTAATTAATTACTTTGAAACTGTTCTGACGCATTTCTCAATCTCTAATTGTGCATACACACTAGTTAGTACGTGTAGAATTATATTATCTACTTTTTGTAATTTGATCAACAACCCTATTATCAATCAGACGAATAGTTTTCCCGAATTACTCATAATTCACACCGCTTTCATAATTTCCAATAGTACTAATTTTTATTCAATACAATAAATATTATTTAATTTAACATGACCACAATAGATCGTGGAATAAGTCTACCGGGGAAACCACGTTAAAAAAAATGCACCAAGTTCACTACCTCACAGGTGGCATGGAAACGTGTGCATTTTATGCAGAACAAAACTTTTCAACTTTTTGAATCGCTATATCTCGGAAATGGTGATTCTTAGGAATAACAATTTTTATAGATAATTGCATCTGTCCGACCTATTTTTATGATAAAACTTAGTGTTTGGCAGAAAATACATTTTTTTGCAGATGTGGGATCGATGGGGACTTTTCACATTTCATTATTTTATAATGATGTCCCAACATTCGTACCAATTTTCAGCTTTATGCGAATTATTGTAAGCTTACCCCTATTTTTTAAGCTACTTTGACCGGGTTTATATGTAATATTCCAATATTACAATCAATATGATGTTTAATCGCGTTTGTTTTTATTTTATTACAGTTTTACTAATTTTATTACAATTACCAGTTACAATATGATGTTTTATCGTGTTTCATATATCAAACTACGATTTCTTTATGATTTTCCTTTCTCTTCAAAGTTTTGGGTAACAATGATATTTGATTAATCAAATAACAATTTAATCGATAGTTTTCTAATATAATCAATAATCGATTGCGGTCATTTGATTAATCAAATAAACGATTAATTATTTCATTTTTACTCTCATCTCTAGTGTTGAAGTAGTATACAATAGTCGCTATATTGGTACATCAATAGTGTTGTTGTTAGTATTCTCTCAATTTATACGAAGTATATCCACAAAGTCAGAATATTAAGACTCTACTGTTGTAGTGGCGTGTTAAAGTGAGTGCCGCTATTCCGAATCCTGCCAGCTGCGAGGTAAGGAGCGTAATCCGGTTTCTTCTTGCAAAGGAAAAGGCAACGTTTCGTGGCGACCATCGATTGTCTTTGGACGAGATGAAGCCAGTGTTTCCACAAAATCGTTACTGAAACACTTGGTTATTGAAAATTGTATGCGAGGGTATCAAACATCTCGCGGATAAACACGAAGCCAACAGAATCGCATCTTCACGAGAATTTTTCGAACGCTTCGAACTGGATGGTGGACGATTCCTTGACTGTATTGTGACTGGTGACGAAACGTGGGTGTCCCAATACACCCCTGGGACGAAAAAACAATCAATGCAGTAGCGACATCGTTATTTACCATCAGTGAAAATATTCAAAACCGTTGTTTCGACTCGAAAAATCATGGCAAATGTGTTTTGAAGTCAAAAAGGGATTATCTTTATTGACTTTATGCCCCAGGGAGAAACAATGATGCCTCGTCGTACTGTGAAACAATGAAAACATTACCAATAGCCATACTGAACAAAAGAAAGGGAGTGTTAACAAAGGAAGTGTGTTAGTTACATGACAATGCACGTCACCACAGATCCACAAAGCAACTCTTGGATTTATTTGGTTGGAACATAATCAACCACACTGCTCACAGCCATGACCTGGCATCTTCTGATTTTCTTCTTTTCTGTTCTCTGAAGGTGTTTGGAAAAAGAGTTTCTACCTACGGACGATAAGGTTTTTTTGACGGGCATCAGAAAGCTCATTCCTCACAAAATGCATTGAAGTTGAAGACGTCTATGTCAAAAAATAGTGTTTGATGTACCTTTTTTCATGTGTACATATTTCATAAATATACTACCGTTTCGATTTTTAAACAATTGAGTACTTTTACTTTGTGGACATGCCTCATAAATTATTTTTATTTCCAATGACAGTGATTTTAATGAGTGCGTTTGTTATTTCTGTTTAATATTATTGTTCAAAATAAATATGTAGTTTAATTACTCACTTTAGGTAAAAAAATTTTTTTGGTTTGAATTGTTACCCTTAAAACCGATTTTTAGCTCTTAACTTAGCCCACATCTTTGATTTAAATATCTCATGAAACTGATGGGAAATTATTTACTTAAAAATAAGTGACATAACTAATGTTTTAAACTTCGTTTACTGTTTTATAATTTGGAATGATAAATAGAAAAAATTGGGTGGAAAATGATTTAAGTACTTTATTAAGGTGGAGTGACTGCGAGAATAAATAAAACCAGTAGTCCAAATCCTGTATGAGTATATTTTAAATGCTTTTTGAACCATTAATAAATACTCAATAACTTAAATGTAAATAAATCTCCTATTAGGAAAATATAAGCATTACATTACTTTCAAATATCACATAAAGTAAATCATGAGGTATATGAAAAAAATTTATACTCTGAAGAGTTCACAAAAATAAAATAAAAAAAACAGAGGATTCCAATAGTCATCAGAAAAGAAGAATAAACAATCATTTGTACATTCATTAAAGAAACATTGCATATAAGTACGAAAAAATCTTATATATTTTACAAATAATACTTGTCAACAAAAACTATATAATAAATAAATTGAACTAAACATTAAATATATAAAATACTTCTTTTATAACCTCACGTGATTATATACATTCATACAACTGCTGCCAAAAACAGTCGTCAGGGCATCGTTTAGTTATCGAGTAACTGATAAGCCTTGGACAACAATTTACATTTTACTACCTAAAAATAACCCTTAACTTAAATGCAAATAAAGCCAACTCGAAATTACAATTAGCTACTCAATTACTGCACGTGCCCTTAGAAATTATTGCTGCTACAAATTATTACAATCTACCGAATCATTGGCAGTTTTCTTGGAAAGTTGGGTAAAAACGTTCAAAATCTAGTCTATGAACTTGCACAGTAAATATTCACATATTTAGGCTGATAGTCGATTGGAAAAATAGATTTTTCGATAATACCAGTTTTACATAATCCAGTCGGGTCAAATATTTGACCAAACAAACCAACGGTTCCTTTAAAACTAATTTGTTAAAGCTATGGGACAATCAAACTATAGTCAGTCAACTTGAAAGGGTCTACACACAAAGAATTTTTGCTTCCATTCAGCTCACGATACACATCAAATTGACCAACATTTAGGGGCTTTGAGCCCAAGTGAGACTGAACAATGCTAAACATTGTGGCTGCCATTGCCGTTTAAGTTCCGTAGTTCTGCTTGTTCCATCTTTAAGATGAGGTCATTCCGTGGCTTGCTGAATAGATTGGAAAAACATGTACCCTGTAAAAGAAGGAACATTGTTTATTACAAAATATTATTTATATGCGCAGTTTCATATAAGCTAATTGTGCTGATAGTATATGATATGCATAAAGGTTTTTGTGATAAATTAACAACAGAGAAGGAAGTGCCCAAATGGTGGAGAGATATTCTTTCTTATTTTATTATAAGTGTTTATATACATACAGGGTGATTCATTAACAATGGGAAAATCGAAAGCTGAAGATACTACACGTGAAATGGTGACCATTGGTACAAACATGCCTTATCCAAAAGTTGATAGTTTCGGAAATACTGGGTTTTGCAAGTTAAAATTTTAAATAGTTTCTTTGCGATTATTCTGAAAATATGTAGGTTAGGAACTTGAAAATTTGTGAAACTATATTTTTTTAGGCGACGAATAGATGCGTGTTGTAATGTCAGCATTGCTCATAGAGGGCGCCACTTTCGACCAATTTTACCGAAAATTTAGTTAATAACTTTTAACCCTGTATATTTTACATGAAACTTGATTCAAAACCTGAAAGAGCTATCATTTTTCCATTAATTATGTACTCTTGTTTCATTTCGGTATCTCGATCCGTTTTCGAGAAAATCGATTTAACGAACACTATGTTTTGATAATATGAGAAATTAAAAGCGAAACAAACCAAGTGTTTCTTCGTCTTATTACAACAATTAACAATAAAACAAATGAAATTCGTAATAACGATTTAATGTTAGTGTTCGAAGAATCCACCGTTGACATTTACACACTTTACACAACGTTTTCTGAGAGATCTTCGAGTTTGCAAAAACATATTGGGATTGCGTTTGACTTCGTTGGCAGCGATTTGTATTCTTTGCCACAACTCTTCACACGAACCAATAGATTCTTCCAAATAGAAAAATAAAGAGGAATGAAGTTCGGATTTCTGGGTGGCCAAGTAAAATTGCTTTCACGGCTTGAAGAAGTTCCACTTTATTTAAGAAGAGACATGTGGTTCATGTACGACGGAGCTCCACCGCATTTTTCTTGGCCAGTGCATGCATATTTAGATGCAGTTTTTCCCAATCGCTGGATTGGCCATGTAAGCAATTTTGCTTGTCCGTCCTGAAGTCCGGACTTCAATCCTCTCGATTTTTCTATTTGGTCTCGAATGAAAGATATAGTTTACAAAGAATCTATTGGCTCGTGTGAAGAGTTGTGGCAAAGAATACAAATCGCTGCCAACGAAGTCAGACGCAATCCCAATATGTTGTTTCAAACTCGAAGATCTCTCAGAAAACCTGTGAAGTGTATCAGTGTCAACGGTTCTTCGAAAACTGACTTTAAATCATTATTACGAATTTCATTTGTTTTATTGTTAATTGTTGTAATAACCCGAAGAAACACTTGGTTTGTTTCGCTTTTAATTTCTCCTATTATCAAAACATAGTGTTCGTTAAATCGATTTTTCTCAAAAACGGATCGACATACCGAACTGAAACAAGAGAACATAATTAATGATTAATTAATAATAAAAATGATAGCTCTTTCAGGTTTTGAATCAAGTTTCATGTTAAATATACAGGGTAAAAAGTTATTAACTAAATTTTCGGTAAAATTGGTCGAAAGTGGCGCCCTCTACGAGCAAGTATCTTCAGCTTTCAACTTTCCCATTGTTAATTAATCACCCTGTATATAAGTTGGATGTGACAACACTGCGATCTCAAGGATATAAAGATGGCAAACAATAAATCGAAAATATAATCTTTAGTTTGGGAGACTTTTAAATTGTATGTTATTCAGATTCGAGGGACTATCTACCAGCCAAATATTACCAATAATGCGCATTGCAGATAATATCAACAATTTGCATTTCGAAAAAAAAAAACGTTTCCGAACACATTTTTGGAAGCTTTTTTTTATTCATTTATGGCTGAGAATTCGGCGAAACATTTTAGTTACACCCTGTATACATATATCAATATTTCGCCGTATTTTGTTACTTTTAACAATATTTTCAAATTTCATGTAAAATATGTTAATATTTCTTCCTGTATTTAACAAAAACACAAAACTTGAAAGTTTGCAGGATCTTCTGAAAGACATTCGTCATCACCTTCCCCCTCCCTCAGCAGTTAACCTCAGCGGAGGTTGAAACTGAACTGCTTGTAATTCGATACCCGAAAAGCGGAAAAACGGAAATGAATATGGATGCTAAAAATGAATTGAGCTGTTAGCAGATGAACGAAAAGAGAAAGCAGGTAAAGAAGATATTGAGTGAATATGAAAAACAAAATAAAAAGCCCGTAGAAAAAAAATACCAAACAAAAATCTCAAAAAAACTTTAATGAAACCGATGGTGAAAAATCATGTAATGAATTGCTTTTGCATGACTCATCATCTAATAATGAATTTGACAACATATAATTTAGACAATGGGAAAACCTCGCATTCGTGGGAAAAATTTTCCGACTCGATTTTTTTACATATTCAGATTCGTGAGACATGACTCAAGAAGACGCCGGCCGGAAATCTGGCGCTCATTTCATAGTTTAAACAAACTATTTTTGAACAAATTGTAAAAATTGGTTTTTTCACTCAGGAAAATTTTTCCTACGAATGCGAGGTTTTCGCCTTGTCTAATTAAAACAAAAATTAACGATTTTTGTTTTGTGACAAAGAAAGAGTATTCATTATATTGGTATTGTAAATGAAATTGCCACCAACTTTTTTGAAGTCTTAGGTTGCCTCATTTGAAAGTTACAACGTATCTAAGTTGAAATTAAAGAAAAATTTTTCTCCAAGGAATATAATTTCAGAAAGAACTATTCACAGCACAGTTGAGGACCAGCTATCATATTTGGTCTCAATATTGTCTGGCAGCATTTGTGCTACTATACATCTTGCACAGGCTGACGTAGGTCTGATGGTTCTTCGCCATTACAGAAAAATTGAAAGAGCAAATAGGAAATCGTAAGTACTGATCTTTATGACACGAATTTGAAATTCCATTTTAGGAGGTTTAATGCCCTAAGGACTGTGAAGTCATAAGAAATAGTTTTTGCCACTTTTGTAAATATTTTTTTACATCTTTTCACGTTCAAAAAAATATAAGATGTATTGAAAAAAAATACTGGTTCGATCAAGTTTGATTTTGTTAGCGTTGCCGTGGAAAACAAGGTACTTTCAATGTACCAGGTGTTCCGAAATTAATGCAACAAATTTGATATGTATTCTTAAGACAAATTTAGGGGAAACGTATTTTTTATTTTTGCCAAGTGGCCCTCTCTTTCGGAGTTACAGCTCCCTGATATCTGCCCCTAAAAATAGTATTTTTTCTGTATCCCAGAACTCTGTTGTACGATAAATCATTAAATTTGGTACACCTCCTTAAGACACTTTTTCGTAGGCCCTTTGTCTTTGAGGCCAAAAAAATTTGGTTGACTTTTTTATTATTAGTCCGCTATAGAGCCATTGAATTTAGAAACTTTTTTGTCTCTTGATATTTTTTCGAGAAAAATAGCAAAATGTGATCGAATGCATATCGCGATTTGTATGAAATTCTACGTGTTAATCGTAGGTGGCTGTCGATGCATTCGATCACATTTTGCTATTTTTTCGAAAATATTGTGTTTCTAAATTCTATGACTTCCTAGCCGACTAATAATTTGTAAGAAATTTAAATATGCGACCAAATATTTTTGGCTCCAGAGAGGAACCAAATTTAGGGACAACAGGGTCAAACAGATCAAACTGAAATTACAGTCAACCTACAAAATCAGAGCCTACTAGCACTTTCTTAAGTATTAAGTATTATAATATGGGTAGCAAGAAAATGTATACATTTCAAAAATATTTTTTGTACCCAAACCGCTCATTTAATCAAAATTCTACAAAAGGCCCAAAAACTTCCAAATGGTATCACCTATCAAATAAAAAATAGTTGTCATTATTGCCCAATGAAAAAGTTATGATTGGATATTATCACCATACATCAATTTTGTAGATGTCGTAAGTTAAAAAAAACATTTATATAACACCAAACTGTGTAAATTGAAAGCAAAAGTCCACACACCAAAAAATAATCAAAATCGAATAATACGTATTCCAGCTATTTAAAAAATTTTCACGAACTTTAAGGCTATCTTGCGGAAAAACGAACAGATTTCGGATGTAGGTCAATTAGCCTAAATCTGCCTATTTTGAGTCCACGAATCTGTGGTTTTCCGTTGTACACGTTATTTTGGGACACCCTGTATATTAGACTATCGAAAAACTTTTTTCTTAAAAATTGTTAAGAAAAAAGAAAACTTTCACATGATGTATAATGATGAAAAATATTTAGGAAATTGGGTAAAATAATTTCGAAGACGTCAGGACGTTAGAACGTTAAAGTTGACAAGATGAACTTGTAAGTTAAGTTTCCATTTCCTAATTGCCCTTTCTGTATTATTTCCTGTAATGGCGGCCAACTGTCACTTCTGGTACATCCACATATCGAGAAACAATTAAGTTGGCCAGGATTTTAAAGATTCGGAATAATGGTTTGGCAAATTGGATCATACGCCGTAAGATTATAGAAAAAGTTATTAACCTGATACGTGCGATTGCATGTCATTAAACCCTAACAGACGGTAATACAAGATATTTTAGTAAAATTAACGAAATAACGACCGGCAATAACGCGCAAGGCGCTGCATAAATAATGAATTATGATATACAGAATTAATTTATGCCGCATAAACAGCCCAGGATGTTTATGTGAAATTTAGTGCAGCTATTAGTTTTATATATAGTCAATTTGAAACGGGAATGGTATTTTACTGTTCACAATTAGTTTTGCATTTATCATTTGAACTCGAGGATGTTTCGATACAATAAATAATGTTTCCCCATTTGTTATTTTAAAATCTAAATTTCAAAAATAGTATGTGCCATCACTGGTAAATGTAATTTTACTTTTTTTATTCTTCATATAGTAAATAATCTGCTGATTTTTCAATAACACTGTGTACTACAGAGACTTCATAAA